TACCCTTCAATGCTTCTAATCAACCGGTTACGGATGCTTTTTAACCTTACCTTGGAGAACAGAGAGCCCATGCTCTATAGACGATCTGTCGCTCTCTACCTATGTGTTTGTATACTGTTCGTCACACTTCCTCTTTGCATTATCTGTTTACCCTAAAATGTTAGCTATAAATAGGGCTCCGTGCGGTATACAAAGGTTAACAATGTATCTTAAGCATGCTTTTATCTAAACGTTCACAAAAAATTATCCCCATTTTTGTTGGACATTATTGTTTAGCAGCGAAGTGGTTGTCGCTGAATTTTGGTCTACTTGCAACACTACTCGTATTTAACCTCTCTCTCACACACATTGTCCACAGCATTGAATGTCAAATTCAAACAGACATGGAACCGATTCATGTACGGTGGCACTGGAACGATCAGGAACTTCAGACCTCGGATCGTCATGAAATCGTATACATAAAAGACACCGGTATTGCTCGTCTGCTTGTTCGAGAAGTCGGTCCGTTAGACACCGGGGAATACACTTGTGTGGTGACCGGGGAGAGATTCGAACCGCAATCTCAAAAGACTGTCACCAAAACAATTCGATCAGCCGCACAAATAACAATTGAGGGTAAGTTAATATGTCTGGCTCAAAATTCCCTACTATCACTGCCGAGATGTCTCGTTCCTCACGAGTGAATGAGCCAGTGAGTGTGAATTAGTAAGTGATTGAAGTCATTGCATGTCATTGTATTCTTGAAAGGATTGCCAGGAATAAAAAAGGCTGTATGAAAATATTCATTCAGTATCCTGAACAATCTTGTGGTAACTTAAAATCTTGACGTAAAAGCCTGATCGTACACAGCTTTACAAAGGAAAATAATGTCTAATTTCATCCAAAACTTAATTCGGTTTCTGGATAGGTATATTGGTTCAAAAAACGTAATAAATAACAATACGAGAGGGTTTTTATATCGTCCCTTTTTAATGGTATCAACCTATAGGAGAATATATTTTCACAAGTCTGTAAAGTAGTGACATGAACACTACCCAGAACAATCACTTGTGCTGCCGTTTGTTCATTGGTCACCTTCATGTGACAATTACAGTCTAAACCTCGTCCGAACACCATACACACGTACTACACTATGACATTGTCTATCATGATGCAAGCTGGGTTCCACTTGTGACGTGATCATACAATTTGATTTGGCGGTGGGTCAGCATTTTCCACGTTACCTCCAAACAAGGACAAGCACTAACATATCAGTAAGATCATTCTAAAAATCCTCTGTCCCCGGGTTTTCATGTCTTATAAACTGTACTGGCAACGTTGTGAATTTATGAAACAATAGTTAGACTGATAATGTCTTATTCTTGATATGACTAGGAGCCTTTATCACACATTAGGACATTTCTAACTGCTCTCATTATTGAGTCATTTTCCTACTTTTTTATCAGGTTAACAGATTAAAATCAAAAGCGGCCAATCTGAATACTAATATTAATAACAGACATTTTGAACCGGATTTTTTGAGTACATAGGTTAAAATTCGGTTTGCTATTCTGTCAAATATCAGTGTATATAGCAAGTCTAATGAAAAAAATATACAAAACTTTTCTTATGTGTTTTTCAGCTGAGGTAGAAGAGATCTTGGAAACTGGTTCCGAACCACACTCGCCTACGTTCGTCACGGAACTGGCCCCTGTGCGCGTTTGCGAAGGCGAGGAAATATATTTGGTGGCAACCGTCAAAGGTATTCCACAACCGTCCGAGGTCCTGTGGAAACACAACGATGTCCCAATCCAACCGGATTCTACAGACGCCCTTATATACTACTCACCAGATTCAGGAACTTGTGAATTGACCGTTTCTGAGGCGTTCCCTGAGGATGCGGGCATTTACTCAATTGAGGCATCTAACGAATATGGGACTGCAGTAACACAGACTGAAGTCCTCATTATTCGAGAATCACAGGAGGAAGAAACGAAAGAGCAGTATCCCACTGCTGAAACCAAAGAAGTGAGTGCCCCTGTTTTGGAAACTCCTAAAACGTCCATAAGTGAGACACAAACGGTCGTCGAGGCACAAGAAGCAGTCAGCGAGATAGAGACGCCTTTGAGTGTAGATTTGCCCACATCCGAAACTGTTCAACCTGTGTCCGAAAAGGATGCACGGGTGACATTTGCCGACGACGTCAAACTTCAGCTGTACTCTCCAGTTGAAGTGATTCCGCAGTCACCCAGTACGGCCTACTGTGAGCACTATGTTGATGAGGAACAGATAACGCCAGAAGTTCCAGAACCACAAGAGATAAGCTTTGACGAACTAGAAACAGGAGAAGAAATTATGCCATCCCTG